GGCCACCATTCTTCTGACCCCCAGCCCTCTTGTGCCCTTCTCTGGCCAGGGAAGGGCCCTCTCAAGGAGAGGACCAGGAGGAGGCTTGTTGGCGGGGCCAGACCCTGTTGTTGAGGCAGAAATGTTCAGTCCTCCCTCCCGCCACATGCCTTCTCCACAGTTCTCATTGTGAAGCTCTGAATCTTTGTTCTCTTCCTCCCTTCTCTCTCCTTCCCTCCCCCACGCTGCAGTACATGCTGTGGAGAGTAAGTGGCCCTGTCCCCGGGGAGGCCAAGCCCCCACTTCTGGGGCAGCCTGCCCTTCCAGGGTGGGGGGAGGTTGGATGGGTCTGGGATTGGCGCCTTCTCTGGCCTGGCTGCTGAGTATAAAAAGCCCTGGTATGTGTCTTTGAGGTACAGTTCCTGCAGCAGGAGGGATTGGGCTAGAGGGCAAGAAGAACTTGTTCTGGAACAGCTGGTACAGGGTACCCACGGGCTGTCCTTGGGCAGCTTTGGGGTGGGGGGACAGGGGAGCGGGGAAAGAGTGTGGATAGCATTCTGTTTATTCTCAGGTCCTGCCTAACTTTGGGGCTCAGTGATTTGCTGTCAGCCATAGTTAATGAGAGACCATAGTCATGGGTTTTGTTTCCTGAGGTGCCGGCAGGGCTGTGGTGGGAGTGAAGGCCTGGAGTTCCGGTATCTGTCGGGGAAGGAATGGGGTCTGGGCTCTCGCACAGGCCCAGGACAGGCCCTCTCTGGCTGTCCTTAAGCAGGACCAGGAGGTGCCAGGCTGGAGTGTGAATGGGGTCAGAGACCCCAGGCAGGCCACACTCCAGAGGGAGGAGTGAGGGGCCTGAGCCAGGATTCTGAGGGGCGAGGGGCTGGTCCCACTCCCCCTGATGGCACCTTCTCTCTTTCTCCTAGTACATGACCTGCAGAGCTTCGGCCTCGACAACGTACGTACCCGGTGGAGCCCGTGGGGGCCGGTGGGGTGGGAGACTTGGTTGCTGCTTCCCATCTCTGTGGCGACATGCCGGGAGGGGGAGCACATGTGTAAAAATATGCCGTGTTCTGACGGGGTCCCGCCTGAGGGTTGAGTACGTGAGAGGGACTTTTAAACTGAGATCTGAGCAGGCCGGGGGCAGGGACGGGGCTGGACAGCACCCTAGACAGCGAGCACCCAGGATGAGGTCCGGAGAGAGTGTGGCACTTCTGAGGAACTACAGGGCAGGAGTGGGTGGGTGAGGCAGGGGAGGTCGGCAGGGACAAGACTACACCAGACTCCGAGACCAGGCCGAGGGGCCTGATCTTTCTCCTAAGAACAGTGGGAAGCTGTTGGCCAACTGTAAGCAGGGTCATGGCGTCATCAGATTTGCATTTTTAAAAAGATCCCTCTGGCGGCTAGGTTTGATACACATTGGAGCGGAAAGGGAGCGCTGATGGGAGATCTGGGGCCTCCCTGGCTTGAGACCTCCAGGCCAACCCAGTGCCTGCCGCGCAGGATCAGTGCTGGGATTGGGATCTGGAGCCCCAGGAGCCTGTGGACTATGTGGAAAAGCAGTTCCCAGGAGGGAAATGGGGGATTCCTGTCTCAGGCAGGCTCTCGCCTTAGGGCCACAGCTTTTCCCAGACAGGTCCCCTCCTTCCGCTCCCCAGAGACCCAGGTGTCTCCGTCTGCTGTGTAGTATAGAGCTTTGGGTGACTGGGGACTGCAGGCCTCAGGGCGCTGGTGTTGCTTGCAGATCAACATGACCCACTACATCCAGCACTTGTCGTTCGGGGAGGACTACCCGGGCATCGTGAACCCCCTGGACCACACTAACGTCACCGCACCCCAAGGTACCAGCCCGGGAGGTAGCCCTCAGCCACCAAAGGCCCACGAGGCACCCATGCCAGTGCTCTCTTCCCCCCGCAGCCTCCATGATGTTCCAGTACTTTGTGAAGGTGGTGCCCACAGTGTACATGAAGGTGGACGGGGAGGTGAGTCTAAGGGAGCTCAGGTATCAGAGTCTCCACTTGGTGCCAAGCACTCGAGTTCCTTCATTTAGTTTCTTCAACCTGGGAGGTGAAGTGCCGCTCTCATCCCCATGTGATGGATGAAAACCCCAGGCTCAGAGTGGGTAGGTGATTTGCCTTCAGAGGCAGAGTTCAGGCCCAAGACTGTCAGGTTTTAAAACACTTCTCTCTAGACACCCCCATCCATTCCTCGAGGGCCCACTGTGTCTGCCTCACTGTCCCTGGTGGACTGCCCTTGGGCTGGGGTTGCCAGGCCAAGCCTTCCTGGGCCCCTGCTCCTATTTCTGCTGTGGCCAGGAAGCAGTAGAGCATGAGGGACTGAGGGGCAGGAGTCAGTCCTGGCCTTGTTGGCACCACACGGGGGGCGTTGCCTTGGACCCCCCCCCGTGAGAGCATCCACCAGATGCAGCTGGGATGGGTAAACTGACAAGAGCTGGGGATCAGAGGGCAAGTCAGGATGGCAAGGCTGAGAGCAGGGGTTTCGGTGGTCCCCAGGCCTTGCAGGATTAGCTACCAACATGGTGCCTCATTCTGTCCCTGCACACAGTGAAGACACAGCAGGACAAGAGGCAGGCTCAGGGGTGGGGCTGATGGGGGTGGGAGCCGGGTCATAGACCTGGCCCTGGCCTGGGCTTCCCTCCTACCCCAGGTGCTGAGGACAAATCAGTTCTCTGTGACCAGACATGAGAAGGTCGCCAATGGGCTGTTGGGTGACCAGGGGCTTCCCGGAGTCTTTGTCCTCTATGAGCTCTCACCCATGATGGTGAAGCTGACAGAGAAGCACAGGTGAGAGCGGGGATAGCATGGCCAGGCCTGGGCCTATGGGAGTGGGGAGCCCACTGAGCCCACCTCCCCCACCAGGTCCTTCACCCACTTCCTGACGGGTGTGTGCGCCATCATCGGGGGCATGTTCACGGGTAAGGAGCCCCAGGCCGTCTGAGGGGTGGGAGCACAGTATGGGTGGGTAAAGCATGGGTGCCACGTGCTGGGAGAGAAGGGGCACCTTGAGGGCCAGTGGAGATTCTGGCCTGGCCAGTTAGGTGACAAGGCTCTCGAGGTCAAGTCAAGGGACCAGCAGAGCCAGTGCCAGCCCTCTTCTCTCTCCCAGTGGCTGGACTCATCGATTCGCTCATCTATCACTCGGCACGAGCCATCCAGAAGAAAATTGATCTGGGGAAGACAACGTAGTCGTCCTCCTCCCCCTTGGTAGTTCCCTCTTTCTCCTGTTTCTCCTTGGCCTCCCCACCCCGCCTCCTCAGAGTGAGCCCAGCCCCAGGGCATAATCTATTGATTGTGATAGTACTCGCTGGTGTCTGTGTGATTCTTGGGCTGGCTGGCACCTTATCACAGCCACTTATTGCAGGCAGTGACAGCTGCCCTCTGGGAGCCCCACCTGGGCATCCCCTGGTTAACAGGGACTTTAGACAGACAAACCCCTCAGCCCTGTCCACTCCTCCACTGTGGTCTTTGGGCCTTTGGGGTTCAGCTGTGGGACTGAGGCAGACCTTTCCGGGGTGAGCATCCTGGAGCCACCATGGCCCCCAGGCTCAGGAGTGGCCAACTGCGGAGCCGCTGTTACAGGGCCCTGCGTACAGGCTGGGGTTTACCACCTCTTTGGTGACAGCTAAAGCTGGGGTTGCTCCCTGCCACTCTGGGCTCAGTCACCTGATCCTCTCGGTCATGTCCCTGCTGTGTGGTAAGCCCTGTGCTGGGTCTTGCTGTCGCTACAGAGAGGAGTTCTGCCAGGTCCTCTGCTGTCTCCTAGGTAGAAGCAAAACTGAAAACCAAGGAGGGAAGTAGCAGTGGCCGTTCTAGAGCAGGGCTAGCACCAGGCCCCTGGCTCAGGACCTGATCACGGCTTCCCACGAGCGCCCTTTCCACATGTGCAGAACCAAGGCCCAGGGACAGGAACAGCCGGTCAGTTTATCAGATCGTGTGTCAGGGAGTTTTGATGTAAGACCATAGTAGGGGAAAAGCAGGGTGATGCAAAACCTCTGGAGTGAAGCCTGGGATCCAGCTGTGGTGTGACACCTCAGAGCTATGTGACCTTTGACTTAGTTAACCCCCCTTTACAGACATCAGCCTCATCTATAAGTTGGGGGTGATAGCGTTGGCTCTAGTGAGCCTTGTTTTTGGTCACCAGGAACCATTCCCCCTTAATTCTTCCTGGGAACCCCTGTCCACCCTCTCAGCTTTCATGGTTTGGGAGGAGGGTGGGTGTCCCACCCTGAGTCCCAGGGGAGGCCCACGGTCACATATTCCATGCCCTCGGCCACAGTGACACAGTACAGGCCTGGCTGTATCAGGAGGAGGAGAGCTTGCTGTCCTCCTGGGTGGGAACATGGGGCGACCCTGCAGTTCTGAGGGGGAACCCATCTGCAAATGAATGTGCCCCAGCGACAGCAGAGCTGAGCCACAAGGCAGACACAACTGGTTTTGGTGACATTATTTGAACACTGTGACAAGCTGCACCTGAAGCCAGCCAGCTGAACTCTGGGAATTACAGTTAAGCAAAAAGGGAATTTATTGGCTTGCATAAGCCTGTTTGGGTTGGGATTTCTGTCACTTGCAAGCAAGAGAGCAGGGCGGTGAGGAATAAACAAGTTAGTGACGTATGTGAAGTGCTCAGCTGTCCTGCAACGGCAGAAGCCTCAGCAGATTAGGTGAGAGGGACCCAGCCACCAGCAGGAGCAGGAGCAGCGGGTGGGCTGCTCAGAGGGCTTGACAGCTCGGCTGCAGGCTCCTTGGCCTTGAGCCTCCTGTCAGGCCCCATTCTTCCCTGTGGCAAGGCACATGGGCAGCCTCCCTCCCTGTGCATTCTTCCAGGAAGTCCCTAGCACCTGAGGTCATCTCAGGACATCTGTTCTCTGCCACCTGGAGGAGCTGGCCTTGTACAGCACAGGCACGTGTCAGTGCCTGTGTGATGGGGTTTATTCAAAGGAAGCTCACTGGCAAGAAGGGCTGCAGGAGTTGGGCTGGCACCGTGGCGTGGGTGTCCAAGCTGAATCACTTGTGCAGGGGGCGGAAGATGACCTGGCTGATCTGGCCGGGCATGGTGTAGAAGACGAGGAGGAGGAAGACGGTGATCAGCGCCAGCAGCAGCAGCAGCACCAGGATGCGCCAGTAGCGGCGCCAGATGAAGAAGATGAAGGTCTTCAGCGGGTTCACGAACCAGTTGAAGGAGGTTTTGGGGCGGCTGTTGGAAAGGTGGTGTCAGGACAACTAGGAAGCCCCTGCTGGCCGCCCCTCCTCCCTCTCCCGGCCCCTGTGCCGCCAACTCACTTAGGCTTCTCCAGGGGCTCTGGCTCCTTCCGCCCCTTCCCCACTGGCCGTTTCTCAGCCTCCTCCGCAGTCAGCAGTTCAAACTCTGCCTCCACCTTTCCCTAGAAAAAGACACTTCTGTGTCACCAGGAGCAGAGGCCCAGCTCTAAGGCACGCTCAGGCCTGACCACTGCCCCAGCCACACCAACCATGAGGATGTACACGTTGCCGCCTGTGTCTCTGAACTCCAGGTCTTCTGGCCGGCCCTTCCTCCTCCTCTGCTTCCGTCTCTTTTTGCCAGCCTGGGCCTCCTGCGCCTCCCGAGCCACGTCCTCCGCCTCCTGCAGTTTCACCATGGGCCACCAGCCCCTCAAGCGGCGGCAGCGAAACAGATTGCACCTCGGCCCAGCCCCATCACGGGCCAGCCGGACTGAGCAGAGCTCGGGGCTCCGGGCCCCCCGCACCATGTCTGGCAGCTGCAACTCCAGGGACCCTGCAAGTCCAGAGCTCACATGAGATCAAAGCGTGATGGGTGGGGGGTGAGGAGGCAGCGTGGCAGGGTGCTGGGGCATGAAAAATTAGGATGTGGTGGTCAGACCACGGCTGTGGACCAGCAGGTGGTCAGATCCCAGTGGAAGGGGGCCAGGAATTGGGATCAAATTGCCAAAGCAAGGACCACAGGCTAAGGAGTCACCATCCAGGGTGACTTGAGTGTGGGTCAGATTGGAACTGGTCAAGGACTTTGGGAAGGGAGGTGACTGTGGTCTGAGCAATCAGGTCAGAAAGCACAGGTTCAGATCTAGGGTCTGAAGTCCCGGGATTCGGGGTTGGGTCAGAGTAGAGAACCAAGCGACAGGAGTTAAGGGGCAGGGGCTAGGGGTGAGGTTGGGGAAGGCTGAGCAGTACCGAGGAAGTCATTGGCGGAGATGCGGTCATAGTCCCAGACCTGTAGGACCAGCACGGCTGGCTGCCGGAACTCGGCCTCCTCCAGGGCAAAGGGTCCAGGCCGGCGCCGGACACTCACCTCCCGCTCCGTGGGGAGGTAGTCAAAGCGGAACACAAAGCGCCAATTGAAGTTCCCCTCCCCAGTCAGGGAGTTGAAGTGAACGTCTGTCTCCTGCTTGTCATGCTCCAGCCCCTTCACCCAGCTGGGGTTGTGGGAAGGACAAGCCAAGGCGGGTGGGCACAGGGGCTGGGGCCAGGCCCGGAACCCGCTCCTCACCCAGTGTGGCCCACAACTCAGCCAGCTCTAGGCACACAGAGGGCCTGGGGACAGGACTCTAGACTCAGCCTGGGGCCCACAGCCCAGCTTGCAGTTTTCAGTTAGTGCCATCCCACTATGCCCTCCCTGCTTAGCGCTGTCCCCCTTAGTGCACAGCCATTGGCCTGGCCTGCAGGCCTACCTCTTCACATAGATGTCACTCGACATCTCTCCAGTGAGCGGGTTCACGTCATCCAGAACCACATCTTCCGTGTTCCAGATGATGACTCTGAGCTCATAGCTGGCGGATGTATTGGGGGATGGTTTTCAGACTTTGAGAGGGGCACTCGGGGTACTGCAGGAAGCAGGAAGGACCTGGGCCAGACCACTGACATTCACTGAGCACCTGGTGTGTGCCCAGCTGGGTAATCAGGATGCCTGTGGCCCTATGAAGGGACAGCCTCAGGTATCACTGACCACCCCACTACAGATGGCACCAGGAATGGTCTGCCAGCCCAGCCTGGGCCAACAAGTTTCTCCCCAAAATTTGGAATCAGGACCCTGAACCATCAAGTGGGGTGGCCTCAGGATGCAGAGCTGGAGCCCACTGCAAGCTGAAGTTTGGGGTGCCGAAAAGTGGTTAGCAGAGAAAGCCCATCTGCAGAGAGGAGTGGGAGGCTGGGAGACGCAGTGGAGATGACCACATGCATTCCCCAAGGGGCAGAGGAGGGGCTGTGGCATTCTGGACCCTACCCTCATGTGGCCTTGAACTTGGCTGTCATGAGGATGCCTGGATAGCTGTTGGTTTTTCTTGCCCAGCATCAATTTCCCCTCGTTTTTTGACAGCACCCTGATTTTCTGCTGGTGATCTCACCACCACACCATCCCCACTGTCACACTAGGTAATTCTGGTGGGACACATCACCTAGGACTGGCCAGCTTATTACAGCCCCGTGACCACAGTGATTGGTTCAGGGAGCAGCATTCGACCCAAGCTAGTCTAATGAGAGTCAGCCCTGAGGCTTTGGCTTTAACTGGGAAAGAGATGTTTATTTCTGCTCAGGTGGCCTAGCTGAGATGTAAGCCTGGCACTGTTAGAAAGCACCTTGCCCCTAGACTCCCAGAGAGTGACACCAAGGAAAGCAGAGCCCAGAGGCAGAAAGTGACAGACTGCTGACATCCGAGCACCTGGATCCAGCCCTGTCTGAAGTGGCTGCACCCTACACGAACTCCACTCGAACTAGCTCAAGTTGGAACGGGTTGTGAAAGGTATTTGGACTGATTCCATCTGCAAGTGACAGACACCCAGTACATAATTACTTATGAAAGAAAGGGAATTTAAGGACTCACCCAACTGAAAAGCCTGTGGCCAGCGGCCTCTGCCTGCTCCACTGGGGGTCTGGGTGTCAGTGGACCCTTGTACAGGTAAACCAAGATGTGCCCCACCTTGGAAGGAGGGGCCAGAGCTCTCTCACCTGATTGGCTGCCGAGGCTTGATGTCAACTGGAGGTGGAGCAGGCACATCGCGGGGAAAGATGTCAATCCACATGTGAAGGGATCCCTGGGGACACAGGACCAGGCTGTGGTCTTATTAGGGCCCCACCTCCCCTGACAGCCCTGTGGCCAGAGGCTGTGCATCGAGAGAAGAGCTAGGGTCAAGAGCAGAGCCAGGGAGATGCTGGGGATGAGGATGAAGGTGGAGTCTGACATGGGGGTTCCAGGGTCAAGGTTAGGCTGAGGGTTCTGGGATCAGGGCCCAGATGTGGAAGTTGAGATCAAAAATTAAGATGCAGCCGGGCGCGGTGGCTCACGCCTGTAATCCTAGCACTCTGGGAGGCCGAGGCAGGAGGAACACTCGAGGTCAGGAGTTTGAGACCAGCCTGAGCAAGAGCAAGACCCCATCTCTACTAAAAATTAGAAAGAAATTAGCCAGACAACTAAAAATATATAGAAAAAATTAGCTGGGCATGGTGGCGCATGCCTGTAGTCCCCGCTACTCGGGAGGCTGAGGCAGAAGGATCACTTGAGCCCAGGAGTTTGAGGTTGCTGTGAGCTCGGCTGACGCCATGGCACTCAAGCATGGGCAACAGAGTGAGACTCTGTCAATCAATCAATCAATCATAAATAAATAAATAATAAATAATGAATAATGAATGAATGAATGAAAGGTTAAGATGTGGCATTCCCGAGGTCCAGATCTTAGGGGTCTGGGATAGAGGTCAGGTTTGGGACCCCAGGTGTGAGCCTTGGTGGTCCAGGGGTGGGGACCTGTAGAGTCAGGGGTGGGGGTATGTGGCCCAGCATGGAGTGGGGATGCTGGGGACCAGCACCAGGAGGCAGGGTCAGAAGTGGCAGTGTGGTGCCCAGGAGGAAGTCTTAGGGGAAGGGGACCCTGGGGCCCCAGAGTCCAGGTCAGGTGGTAATCCTAGGAGCCTGGGAGTCTTGTGATTCTGGGGTTGGGCCTCAAGCCCTCCCTTACCTGGAGCAGCCCCGGGCTACGGGGATGGTAGAGGGGCCGTGTTTCTACATGCTCAGGTACCAGCTGGATCCCAAAATCCGGCATCTCCTGCCAGCGCCGCAGCACAAGCAATGCCTGGGCCTCCTCAGGGGCCCCACCTGCCCCCTTGGAGCCCCCCCCACCTGAAAGAAGAGGTGTGTGAGCCTGGGTTCCACGTAGTTCCCAACCCTTGCCCCTTCTCCCCATCCCTCTGTAGGAGCTCTAAGCTGAGGCAGCCCCTGTGTTGGCTAAAACCCGTGGTCTAGGAGGGCAAATCTGTAACACATAAAAAGCAGAGGTGGGGTGGGGAAGGTGCTGCTATAACTGTTCCCAGTGAAAAGCCAGCAGTCAGGGGACAGTGAGATTGGAGGGGCTGTAGCCTTTGCTCAGACCTTGCTCAGAGAATAGACCACAGGCCATCTATGAGGCATGAGCTCAGTTCTGCAGGCACACTTTGTTGTACGGGATGCTCTATGGGGCCACTCTGTCTTCTGGGAACTTGATTAGCTATGGCTCTGAGGGCTCCACTTTTGCTCTTTGGGGATCTCATGCTCACCAACAAAGAGCATTTTCTCCCCACCATCCAAGAACCTCATCCTTACTCAACCAAACTCACCTTCTCTGCTTACTAAAGAAAGTGGGCTCTTTTCATGGGCACACTAGACTGGGCCCCTAGGGCCCCTGTACCTTGTTCTACCACCATCTTGCTCCCTGTGGCCTGTCCGCCAGAGAAGGGCTGGTACCTGGTGGCAGGGTCTCAGGTGGTGTCGGAAAGACTTTGCTGCCCACCTTGACAGCCTCGGCTCGGTATTCAGGGGCAGGGAGGCCACGGCGTTGGCATAGATCTGCCAGGATCTGCGAAGGCCGGAATGCATCACGCCAGGCATTGTACCCATCCCTGCAGGCAGAAGTGGAGGATGCCTCAGCTGGGACCAGCATATGGACACATTCGGACACAGGGGCAGGAATGAGGACCCTTGAAGATATGGCATCCAGGTTCATAACTCCAACAGGAGATAGGTTAGCTGTCACTTATGATAACAAGGAAAATCAAAGGTGTATGCCAGGTGCTTCTATGAAGGAGATACTGATATTATCTCCATTCTGCAGATGAGAAAACTGAGACTCAAAGAGGTCAAGTAACATATTAGTTAACAGGATCCCAATTCCCAAGCCCACATCTTTTTTTTTTTTTTTTTTTTTTTTTGAGACAGAGTCTCACTCTTTTGCCCAGGCTAGAGTGAGTGCCATGGTGTCAGCCTAGCTCACAGCAACCTCACACTCCTGGGCTCGAGCGATCCTTCTGCCTCAGCCTCCCGAGTAGTGGGGACTACAGGCATGCGCCACCATGCCCGGCTAATTTTTTCTATATATATTTTTAGTTGTCCGATTAATTTCTTTCTATTTTTAGTAGAGACGGGGTCTCGCTCTTGCTCAGGCTGGTTTCGAACTCCTGAGCTCAAACAATCCGCCCGCCTCGGCCTCCCAGAGTGCTAGGATTACAGGCGTGAGCTGCCGTGCCCGGCCCCAAGCCCACATCTTGACTGCTGCACTATAATGTCATAGGTGGTAGGGGTGGTGGGGGTGGTGGGGTTCCCTTCTATGAAATCATAGGATCTGGAGACACAAAATGGGAACATGAGCTTGAACATGTTTGGTCAGAGACTCAGAATGGCTCCTGAGGGCCCTGCCAAACTCACACATCATACTGGGCGGCCAGCCCACAGTTTGCTCTGTGGTGGCTGTAGAATCGGTTTTCTAAGTCAATGTGGGTCTCTCCAATGAGGTCGTCAGAACCCAGAAGGTCATGATCAAAGACGGCAATGGTCAGCTCCGGCTCAGCAGGGAGAGAGATGCTTAGCTCCAGGACCCTGGCCAGGAGGGAGAGTGGCTGAGGACACCTCCATGCCCTAGGAGGTGGTCTGGGGTAGGGGTGTCAGCAGCCTCTGTCCATTCACCCACTGCTCCCCCTACCCCCACTCCAGGGCCCAGTCTCACTCTCCAAAGATGGGGTTGAGCTGCTTGGGGATGTAGCGCTCCCTGGAGTCCTGCCGCTCCCGGCCAGCGCTCACCACCACATAGGGGTCTGCTTTGCCATTGGGGTCTGCTGGAGCCAGGTTGGTAGCCTAGGGATGGTATGGAGTGGAATTGGGAGAAGCGTCATCGTCATGGTCCAAGGTTAACCCTGTTGGACCTATTCTCAGATTAGGTTATGAAGCAGGAAGTTACCAAACATCCCACTGTGAGGAGTTAACTAAGAAGTTGGACATGATGACTTGTATTTTCTTTTCAATTAGTTATGAAATACTTAAGACATACAAATAGGTATAACAAAAAATATAATGAAACAGAAAATATTTGGAAAGATATATGAGGGACTTATTCTTCAATTTATAATTTTCTGTATTGTTTGACTTTTTGTTTTCTTTTTTTCATACCCTCCTCCTTGCTTGACTTTTATTTTTTAGCATGAGCATATGTTACTTTTTAAATTAAGAGTATTTTAACTAAATTAAAAAAAATACATTGGTCAGGTACAGCAGTTCACACCTGTAATCTTAGCACTCTGAGAAACCGAGGCAGGCAGATCATTTGAGCTCAGGAGTTTGAGCCCAGCCTGAGCAAGAGCGAGACCCGGTCTCTACTGAAAACAATATAGAAAGAAATTAGTTGGACAACTAACAATATATAGAAAAAATTAGCCAGACATGGTGGCACATGCCTGTAGTCCCAGCTACTTGGGAGGCTGAGGCAGAAGGATTGCTTGAGCCCAGGAGTTTGAGGTTCCTGTGAGCTAGGCTGACGCTACTGCACTCTGGCCGGGGCAATAGAGGGTAACTCTGTCTCTAAATAAATAAATAAAAATCTTAACATAATCAAATGTATCATTTGTCTCCTAATTTTTTATTTGCACCATTTTACCTATTAAGAAAACTTCCCCACATCCAAGTTCATAAAGATACTGAATATTTTCTTAAAGTTTTATGACATTGGTAAGTTTCCTCTTGCCCACCTTTCACTGAGGTCCTGCTTCATGCGAGGGTCTTGGTTCTGGCTCCCCACCTTGCATAGGCTATAAGAACCCAAGGCTCAGGGGCCAGGTGTGAACAAACCCTCTCAAGACAACCTGAGCTTCAGGACTTGACTTCCTTTTACCCCTGGGATTCTTTCTAGTTGCCTCTTTATTTGGGGCCTGATGGGATTTCCTTTTTTTTTTTTTTTCTTGAGACAAGGTCTCACTCTGTTGCCTGGGATAGAGTGCAGTGGTGTGATCAAAGTTCACTGCAACCTCACACGCCTGGGCTCAAGTGATCCTCCTGCCTGCCTCCCAAGTAGCTGGGATTACAGATACTCGCCACAACGCCTGGCTAATTTTTCTATTTTTGGTGGAGCCAGGGTCTCACTCTTGCTCAGGCTAGTCTTAAACTCCTGAGCTCAAGCGATCCTCTGGCTGCAGCCTCCCAGAGTGCTAGGATTATAGGAGTGAGCCACCACACCCTGCTGGGATTTCCCTTTCTTATGAGATTAGCATCCATTTCAAAGACTGTTTACCTACCATTTCTAGATGCATTATATCATACCATATAGTCTGTCATACTGTGAGAAGCAGAAGGTCAAGATGACTTCTGTTATCTAATTTATGCACTAGGATTCTCAGATTATGGTAGAACAGTGCGTTAGAACATTTCTTCAAATTACACCTTAGAATCCCTATATTTAAAACAGATGGAAGCACAGCATCTGCTCTAGTGATAGGGAATGAGGGAGCAGAGCAGCCCACTTATTCCCCCCGACATTCTGAGACTGCTTTAAGAAAATTTCAAGGCCCTGCTGAGTTCTGTATGAAAATCACAGCAATGGGAGAACCTGTACAAAGGGATTTCATGACAAGCCATCTGAAGCCTGAGGTGCAGAGCTGCACTCATCCTGGAATTACACACCCCATTCTACAGGACCAGAACCAAAAAGGGCTCAGGAGACCTACGCTCTAAGTTCTGGTTCTGCCATGAACAAGCTTTGTAAGCCCGAGGATCACCTAACTTTTGCCTAAGATTTCCTATTTGAAAAATGAAGTTGGACTTTGATCCTTGAGGTTCCTTCCAAAGCCTTCATTCTGCAGGTTTCGTGTATGTTACCTTAGCTGGAGTTGGAGGCGTGCCCAAGCTGCAGATGCTCACCTTGACAACATAGACTCTGACCAGGAGTTTGATGGGTCGGTTCTGTGGGATCCCCCGAGAGATCTGGGGCTCAGAGAACGACATTGCCCCTGATTCAGGGTAAATGAGGAAGGAGCCCTGGGGTGGGCAGAGACAGAAAAGGCCCTAGTAAGAGAGCTGTCCTCCAGAATCCCCGCCTGTGCTCCCTGGTCCCCCTTTCCTTCCACAAACATACCTTGAACTTGCCCACCAGGTGTCCAGAACCTTCTTCCTCTCCATCTGCATCGTGGCCCCCTAGCCCTCGGTATAGCGGAAACACTTTCAGCCAATCTTCAAAGTGGTTAAACTCTTCCTCCAGGGAGCTACTGTAGATCTGAGAGGCAAGGGCCTCAGTGACAGTTCGATGTCCAGAATCCAAGGAAACTCCCCTCCCCGCAACACCCAGTCACCTTCAGGGTGGCAAGTGCTTTTTTCCGGGACACAGAACCTTCAACTTTAGCCTCACTCTGGTCTTGGGCCTCCCCATCCACAGAAACAAGGTTGACCCCATCTGGAAACAGCAAAAATGCCCCCTATCAGAAACATCTGGGTGGGTAGCGGGGTGGACACATGGAGCAAGAGCAGAAAAGCCAAATCTCTTACCCGAATCTCCAGGATCGTCCATTTCATCCTCATCAAAGTTGGGCTGAAATGAAAGGGCAGATCAGAGATTCTTCCCCATCCCTTTCCACTCCTTAGTCTACCCCTCTTCCAGGCTAGGGAGCTGGGAAACCTTAGTTCAAGCTCCAGCTGTGTGAGCCACTTGCATTGTCAAAGCTTCAGCTAATCGTCTAGTCCTATACTGTCCAAGACAGTCACCACCAGCCACTTGTGGCCACTGAGCACTTGAAATGTGGCTGGTTCCAATTGACATGTGCTGTATGTGTAAAATACACACCAGATTTTAAAGCCTTACTGTAAAATATCTCATTAATAATTTTTATAATCATTACTTATTGAAATAATATTTTGGCTATGTTAAATAAAATATATTATTAAAATTAATTTCACCTATTTCCTTTTTTTCCACTCATTCGCTCACCCACCCACTCTTTCACTCTCTGACTGCATCCTCACCTGTTTCCTTTTACTTTTTTTAATGTGGTTATTACAAAAGTTAAAATTACATATGTGGCTAGCATTATATTTCTGTTGGACAACACAGCTCTAGATAGCGGAGTTAACAATCCCCAGCTTCTAGAATTGTTGTGAAGATGAGAAAAGATGATGGCAATGAAGAGCTCTGAAAAACTGCAGAACTCCACATTCGATGAGATCATTCTTCATGTTCTTTATCCTCCAGCCCCCACCCTAGAACCCTCCCCCGCTCCCACCTGCCCCTGGAGCTCCTGCAGCGATGCGTAGTACTTGGACCACCAGTCAAGTTCTTCAGGATCTGGGATGTCCTCCTCCAGCTCAGGGGCTTGAAGCAGGAGGCCTCCTAGGGGGAGCTTCTTCAGAGGAGCCTGAGGGACAGAGGACTCAGTCCCTATGACCCAGCACCACCTCAAGCCCCACCAGCCTCTTCTCTGCCCACCTCCCATACACATCACCTTCAGGAGCCGTCTGGAGATTCCCGCTTCAGCCGAGAAGGGATCCAGGGACTTCTTTCCTGGGAGGGAGAAAATGACACCATGAGGAGATTTGGCGGGCAGAAGTCAGACTCCAGGCCCCACTGGAGGGTCCCCTGGAGCCATCTCTGCCAGGAACCAGAGGGGCGTCTGTCTGGTGGCCCCTAAAAAGAGAAGGCTCCTAACCTTGAGGTCTCTTGGGCACCAGGTCCCCTGTGTCCTCCTCTTCTCCTTCCTCCTCAGGAGGATCCTCATGACCCCGGAAAGTGAATCGCATCATGTGGGGGACAATGTGGGAACCCACAAGGACGGTGCGGCCAAAGGCCCGGCGCTCGATCACCAGGATGCTGAGTGGGGGCTGCAGGTAAGGCTGCTCTGGCAGGTCCTGGAGTGAGAGAGAGGAACTGTCTCTGAGACCCGGGGAGAGGGAAAGGCAGACACAGAGAGGGGGAGAAAACAACACACCTAAACCTGCATTCTAAGCCCAGCTCTGCCACAGCCTCGCTGTGTCATCTCTGGTAAGTCATTGCCTTCTGACCCTAAGGGACACAATCCTGGATTCAAAAGATTGTTGTAAGTGTCAAATGACATAATAGATAGAAAAGTACTTTGGAGCCTACAAGGTACTATCAGAAACATGGGTTGTTGTTTTTCTTATGTAAAGCACCAATGTTCAACTTGAAATATAGATTTAAAAGTATAAAAATACGTATGGCCTTTAGCCCAGGAATTCTATATCTGTCAATGAATCCTAAGTGGGGAGGGGAAACAATTTTACTACTGTGTTTCTGTGTTTATTTTACATGTGTGTGTGTGTGATAATTACAGCATAAAAAGGAATGAAGGAATAGAGCTATTCTGGAGAAAAGTCTCTATATTTTACTGGAACTAAACCAGTATTAATCTAAAATATATTGTGGGCCAGCCACGGTGGCTCACGCCTGTAATCCTAGCCCTCTGGGAGGCTGAGGCGGGAGGATTGCTTGAGCTCAGAAGTTCGAGACCAGCCTGGGCAGGAGTGCTACCCCATCTCTACTAAAAATAGAAAAATTAGCCAGGCATTGTGGTGCGCATCTATAGTCCCAGCTACTGGGGAGACTGAGGCAGGAGGATCTCTTGGGCCCAGGAGTT